CCATTCCCAAGTAACGTGCCCTTTAAATTTAATAATTCTTATAATTTGGCACGTGTACTTTGAACATACTGATTATCTTCTGTTTTAAAGCAGTGTGCCCTGGTAACCACCTTTTCTCAAAGACAAATTACTCACAGTCTTGGCATTAATGGCCTCTTAGTCAGTTTGAAAGTTAACCATGAACAAATGGAATAATCTTTCAGCACTGATGCTATCCTATTAGCTTCTTTCTAAGAAAGTTTTAAGAAGGGCTACCCAGTTTCTTCCCTATTCCAGTAATTTAGACTAACTGAGCACATCTTAGAGTCTCTACCAAGAACCACATGGCATTTCCAGATGCCACCAGCTGGGAAAGTTGGTGAGTTCGAGCCCAGCCTGGTCTACAAGAGCTAGTTCCAGGGCAGGAACCAAAAAAGCTACGGAGAACCCTGTCTCGAAAAAAATCCAAAAAAAAATCTTATTGTTACATGGATATTATCTGTTTTCGTGGTTATGTTGGAGTGTGAACTCAGAGGTTCTTCTGAACCCAGAGGAAATTCTAACATGATTGCCAGTTTCCCCAGCTAGCTGCTGTCGAGGTTGCTGCTATCCCAAACACAAACTTGGTACGGTGATTGCCAGAACGCAGAGGCCCAACCCAGAAATGTGGGCACAGTTGCCACCGCTTTATCTCATCCTGAACGTGACCCGATGGATGTCACCGTCGAGAAGCTGCCGAATCAGAGACACCATGCACCTTTCCTCCGCATTTACGACCACATCCTGCACAGCAGCGTTTTCTGACTCTGTGGTTAAAACTGGCACACATTAATGTATAGCTCTGCAGATCAGGAATCCGAGCTAACGCTGTGATTTGAATCTCAGAACCATTAGGGCAGGAACTCCATTTCTTGGTCTTGAACAATCAGGCAAAAGAAAAAAAAATCTGAGAAGAACATGCTCTTCTTGAGAGAGATATGTAGCTGCACGCAGGCAGAATTAACCCAGGGCTTTCATTTAGTCATACAACAAACGTTGACTGCACATCTGCTGTGGGCGAGGTATCCAGTAGGGAAAAAGATATCCCCAGTGCCAGCCAGTAAAAAGTGGAAGGGGGAAGACAATAAACAAATCAGACCCGAGAGTTATCTATGGCGGTTATCATCACAGAACAAAACGCAGCACCATGTTAGAATGTTGTCAGGGAAACCTCTGAAAAGATATTTTAAGTGAGAGCTGAGCGACGTTTATAACACAGCAGTGGATGAGATTCGTCATCATAATCCTCACTAGGAAAAAAGCATACAGCGCTAAAACCCAGTGCACACACACAGAGCTCAAAGGTGAATATTCCACGTTTGAATAGTGGGATACAGATTTTTTTTTCTTGCTTTTTTGTCTTTTTCCTTTCGTTTTGAATATTTTTTTTCTTCTTGCTTTCTACTCCCACGAACCTTACAGACTGTAGTGCTGGGCAAAGCTGTATCTGGTCCCCGCTCCTGTCCTTTCTTCTAGGCACACAACTCCCCAAACTCTTGTGTTTTCCCACTGATAACTGTATGTTGTGGTGTACAACAAAATCCTTTCAATATTCAGGTGCTTATGCTAATGAGGTGACTTAGGTTGGGACCCCAAGGTACCTCAGACTACAGAGAAGCCAGAGAGAACGTTCAGCCTCTTCTACTGATCTCTGGGAAAGTCTACGAAGAGCTGGAGATCCTAATAAAATCTTGGGCAGTGAGTTTGAGATCTTGAGGGCTGGGAAGGAGAGCTTCCAAGCTGGGGATCACTGGGAGGCACTGGGCTGGACCCACGCCTGGAGAAAGCCCCACCTGCTTCCTCCTATGCCTGTCCTGTGCTCTCTTCCATTTGACTGCTTCTGAGTCAAATAATTTATAATAAACCGTTAACAGTGGGGTGATGTCTGCATTTGTCCAGGCTGTACAGGTCTCTGTATCGGGGCTGATGTCTGAAGTGGGGGTAGCCTTACAAGACAGAAGCTTCAACTTAACCTTGGTGTCTGTCCGAGCTCTGGGGATTAACCCAAGAATTGAATAGATGATATCCAACAACTGAACTGCTGTCTTTGGTTGTCAGTTTGTTTGTCTGATACCTTGGAAACTCACAGAAGCACATGACTTGGGAGGAGAAAAAAAATGAAAGGGAAGAGTGGATATGGGAACTTTGGTTCCTAATCAGCCATTTTTGTTATTGTGGTGTGGGGCCACAGTGGTGGTGTCCTGGTGAGCTTCTAAAGGTAAATTTGCCAATGGGCCCAACTCTCAAGGAGCCGATTCACAAGATGCCCAAGAAAATGCGAACTAGGAAGACAAGAAGGAAGATGTTATAACCCTTTGGCTGCTACTCTCATAGTTAAATTGCAGGCAGAAGAATATACTGGGCCAGGTCTTGAAGCCAGACCAAGCTCAGATTGCATCTGGCCTGAGCTATGGATATTAGATTCCAAGCTGTCCTTACAGTTTTAGAAAAAAAAAATTCATGGGAACAAAGTACAACCTATGATGTCTGGGCTGGGGAGAGGGGTCAGTGGCCAGAGCATCTGCTGCACAAGCATAGGATCCCAAGTTCAAATCCCCAGCGCTCACGTAAATGCCTGGCAGGTGTGGCGGTGCAGCTATAATCCCTACATCAGCAGACAGAGACAGGGGATCTCTCCAGCAAACTGACAACCCAGAGTAGCAAATTAGCAAACTCTGAGTTCAGTGGGAAGACCTGCCTGCACATGTAAGGTATCAATAACAGCCCTCGATATCCGCCCCAGCGTCCATTTAACCGTCTGCTTCTACACACAATATTCCCACACACACGCGAACACGCACACACACTGGGAATATCAAGAAGATGGTCCGGGTGTGGGGGAACAAGACCAAGAACAGAAACCGGGGTAGAGTGTGGAGCGAGTGACCTTATTTCGTAAGTCAGTGTCATCAGTTTCTACAAGAACCCATACTAGAACGGATTTCAGGCTAATTTAGGGGTAGCATTTTGACTCTCCTTTTCCCTTTTTCTTTCTAGGACTGGGGATCGAACCCAGGACCTTTCATGGGATAAGTACACTCTGCCCTGAACAAAACCCTCTAGTACTGAGTCTCACTTTCCGGAAGCTGCACGGTGGTCAGACACGTGTGGACTGATGCAGGACCCACAGCCCACAGCTCACTGTGGAACAACCACGGTTTATTCTCGAGGGAACTGCCAGCATGAAACATTGGATAAGAGCCTCCCAAAGGCCTAGTTAACTTGAAGTGGTCTATGTAATTCCCCTATTAAATGCCAGGGGGAATGTTCCAGATCAAACAGCTGATATACCTTCTAGTCAAGATCATTATAATCTCTGAAAGTCGCCTATCCCTAAGAAGGGCAGTCTTCCTCGGGTTTGTAGAAGCCCTAATACCAGAGCATCAAGAATGCAGGAAATATGAAAATACAGGCATTATAATTGGCCCTGTAATGACCAGGCATCAAACGGACAGACAGAGGCTAAGGAAACACATCTGCTACAGGGAGCACTTCTGTGGGGACACTTGTGCATCTTCACTGCTGGGAAACTTAGCAGCTGTCCAAGAAGCTCAACTGAATTTGCTGCTTCTGCTTTCCCTCATGGGTCTCACAGGTGCTAACAAAAATGCTACCGTAATTAACAGGGAAATGAAGAAAAACAGAAGACAGGGTCAAATGATTCATCTCATCAAGGTAGACCGTTTTTAATGACTACTAAAATGTTCTTAGTTATTAAAGTTTTTAATGACTATTAAATAAACCGGTCTTTAATCACAGCACTCAGGAGGCGGAGGCAGGCAAATCTCTGTGAGTTTGAGGTCAGTATGATCTACAGAGCAAGTTCCAGGACAAGCAGGGCTACACAGAGAAACCCTGTCTCAAAGAGGAAAAAGAAAGAAAAAGAAAGAAAGAAAGAAAGAAAGAAAGAAAGAAAGAAAGAAAGAAAGAAAGAAAGACAGAAAGAGGGAGGGAGGGAGGGAGAGAGGGAGGGAGGGAGGGAGGGAGGGAAGGAAGGAGGGAGGACCAGCAAGCTGCCTCAAAAAATAAAGGTGACTGAAACTAATCCTGACATCCTGATTGGACGGTGAGAGAACCTACTCCTCCAAGTTGTCTTTTGACCTCTACCCCCAATAATAATAATTAATAAAAATTTAAAAAAAGAATTGAATTGTTGGCTACTCAGTTATCGTTTGAGAACTGGCTGTTGGGAAACACTCCAAACTATGAACATGGGAGCTTTTTGTTTTGTTTTGAGACAGGGTTTCTCTGTGTATCTTTGGATGTCCTGGAACTCACATTGTAGACCAGGCTGGCCTCGAACTCACGGAGATCCGCCTGCCTCTGCCTCCCGAGTGCTGGGATTACAGGTGTGCTCTACCACATATGGCTATTTTTAGAATGGAAAACGATAAAATGAACATGTTTCATTTGGGGTTGTTTGAGACAGGGTCTCATTATTTTGCTTTGGCTATGTAGCCCAGAATGGCCCTAAATTCATGATCCTCCTGCCTCAGCTACATAAGATCTGCGACCATAGACATGTTCCACCAAACCTGGCAAATAAATAGTCTTAATATAATGTGAACAATGAACGAGTATCTTAAAATTTCAAAATATTGGTGTAATACGTGTGTGTGTGTGTGTGACTGTATGTGTATACATCATGTGTGTGCAAGTACCCATGGAGACGAGAAGATCACCAGGAGTTACCGGTGGTAGGGAGCCCCCCCACGCCCCCCCAACGTGGGCTGGGGGAACCGTCGAGGACTCTCTGGAGAGTAGGATTACCTAGATGAGATGCTGAGTCATCTCCTCCACCCCAATACTGATTTCATCTCACAACAAGCTATTAAATGCAAATACATATTGAATGAACGGCTCTGAGTTGATTTTTCACTAAACCCACAGACACATGTTTCCACTGGCGAGGTGATTTCGTCTTCACACTCAACCGTAGCTAATCCGTAACCACGGAGTTTTAGCGGCACCGCACGGTTTACCTCCTGCATCTTCGTCTTCATGGGTTGGCGCTTCGGTACTGTGCATGCTTTCTACTTCATGAGGTTTGCTTAAACCGTAGTCACTCAAGGTTTCGGGGCTTTCTGAAAGACAAAGGGAGTTATAAGGATGACGTCCACCCGGAAAGATTTGTATAACTATGCCCTGAGTCACCCTCAGTGATAGCCAGCATTCCCCGGGACTAAGGCTCAGGCTCGGCATCCAGTACTGGTAATCGGGACTCACCTCGCTCACCCCAGCGGAGTAGATATGGAAACTCTCAAGGTGTAGAACTGTGAATGAGATTCATGTATCCTTCTGCCGTCTACAATTCTTGTGAATATTGCACTATATCGAACTCATGTTCCATCTAGACAGCAATTCTTTCTCCATTAGTGTATCTCAGTGTTCAATAGGATACTATTGCTGTCTGGGGCCAATAAGTATTAATGTGTAGTATTAAGAGATACTGAGCCTGAGATATTGATTCAACCCAGCTTGAGAGAAACACATTCCTGAAAGGGAACCTAGAAATTTCTGTATGCCAAATCTGCCTTCTCTTCCTGTTTATGTCAAGTGATTCCATGCAAACATAATGGAACCCAAGTTCCTTCCTTCATTTCATTTCTTAGTGCTATAAAACTGGATCTTCCTATATAGCCCAGGCTAGCTTTAAAAGTCTATGCTGAGCTGGGCGGTAGTGGCGCACGCCTTTAATCCCAATACTTGGGAGGCAGAAGCAGGTGGCTCTCTGTGAGTTTGAGGCCACCCTGGTCTACAAAGTGAATTCCAGTACAGCCAGGACTGTTTCATAAAGAAATCCCGTCTCGAAAACAAAACAACAAAAGTCTGTGCTGGCCTGAATTCAATCAAGATCCTCCTGACTAAACTAGAGTCAGCAAGCTATGGCCTGGTCATACCTGCTCTGTTCAGGTCCAGGGGTAAGGATGTTTTTAACATTTTCAATGATTATTAACAACAACATCAACAAAGGATATAGGAAAGAGATTATATGATGAATTTCTGGTCCTTTCCCAGAAATGGTAAAGTTTAAAGTAAAGTTTAAACCATTCAAATTCGAGCTATTGGCTATTGTCTTTACCAAAATCACTTAGTTTAAAAAAAAATCAATCAAGTAAACAAAAGTCCAATGATCAACGTTAGTTGGAATGTAGTTTGACTCTAGTGCCAAAGTGCGTGTGTGGGGTGTGTGTGCGTGCGTGTGTATGTGTGCATGTGTGTGTGCATGTGTGCCTAAGTGTATGGAGAGCAGAGGTCAATTCAGGTGTCTTCCTTTATTGTCTCCACTTTACTTTTTGAAACAGGGTCTCTCATTGAACCTAGAGCTCTCTGAGATGTCCCTCAGCACTGAGGTTACAGGTCTATGCTGCCACACCTGGTTTTCTTACAATGTTGGGGGCCCAAACCCAGGCCCTTGTGAGCTCTCTCTCTGGCTGTCTCCCCTCCCATCATTATCACGACGTTAGTGGAGGGGCATTTTATCAGCATAAGGAACTGTTTTAATCTCCCACAGCATTTTTGCTGTAACCAGAATAAGGGCGCCACTCTTTCTTTGGTGCTTTTGGTTAAAAGACCTGGCATTACCTGTGGGCAGAGGCTGCTCCTCGGCACCTTTCAGCTCCACATTTGCTTGTATATCTGAAAGGAAAGGGTTATAGGTGTTAGCGACATGGGACACGCGTTTCGACAGGATCTGAATTCTGAATGTGATGAGGACAGGGCTGTCAAGCTTAGCAGCGGGATTCCTCTCAGGGTAGAGCTCCATTTCCTCCCTGCTCCCCCTAACGGTGCTGGAAGGAAAATGGAAGGAATTATCCATTCAGCAGCCTCACTTTGAGAGCGAGGAACTGAACGAGGAACCCACTTCCACTAAAAAGACTGAGGACCAGAGGGTCATGCGAGGCATGAGGGCACTCAGGAGGCAAAGGCAAGTGGATCCTGGTGAGTTTGAGGGCATCCTGGTCTACAGGTGAATTTCAGACCAGTCACAGGCACACAGTGAGCCCCTACTCAAAAAGTTAAATACAATTTAAAAGTGGGTGGTTTCAGAAAGAATTTTAGATAGCCTTTCTTCTTTTTCGTAATTTTGCTGATCACTGCTGTAGAACGAAGCAATGTTCTTCAGATCCAAGCTACACCCTTCACTATTTGTTTTTATCAAAACCAGCCAGTTGAAAAAGGTCAACCAAACCCCCAAAGATCAACATTAGAATCTATGCAAAGTGTGTGACCTCTCTGAAGGAGACAGGAAGGAGAGAGGGAGGGAGGGAGGGAGGGAGCAAGTCTCTTGCTACGTTGCTCAGACTGGCCCCAAACTCAATATGTTCTTGCCTTAGAATCTAGAATAAACCTGATGCTCTCATGGCCAAGTTCCTCCAAAGATTTTATTCAGAACATTTTCAAATAGAAAATGAGCCAGGGTGGAGTGGGCACAGCTGTAACCTTGGCACTGAAGAGGCTGATGTAGTGGATTGCTGTGAGTTCCAGCCGAACATGGCCTACATAGTGAGCTCTCATTTGGAAAGGGCTACAGAACTAACAATGGAGCCAGAAAGATGGCTCAGTGGTTAAGGGCACACCCTGCTCTTGTAGAGGACCTGAGTTCAGTTCCCAGGACCCACATCAGGGGGCTCACAACTCCAGGGGATTCAACACCCTCTTCTGGCCTCTGAGGGTATCAGAACTCACACATATATACTCACACATAGGCACACACAAATACATGATTAAAAACTAAACATTTATAAAAAGAAAAGCAGGGAAATGGGGAGGGAAAGGAGGAGGAAGGGAAGGATGACAAAGACTGCAATGAGTTCTCGTTAATCTTCAACTGCATCCTACAGTTTTGTGATACTAGATTTTTAGGAAGAATCTTTTGTTTTACACTGAAGGTGTGTCTTTGCCAAGGCAGTTTCTGCTTGGTTTAATAAGGACATAAATGGCCAGTAGGTAGGCAGGAAGAAGTTAGGCAGGACATCCGGGTAGAGAGAGAGGAAGAGAAGAATCAAGGTGTGGGGGAGAGATGCCAGAGGAGATGGAGAGGAAGCAGGACATACAGGAAGAAAAGTAAAAGCCACGAGCCATGTCTCAGCACACAGATTAATAGAAATGGGTTAATTTAACTTATAAGAGCTAGTTAGAAGCTAGCCTAAGCTAAGACTGAGCTTTCATAATTAATAAGAAGTCTCCATAACATTATTTGGGAGGTAGAGGGACAGAGAAAGACTTGTTACAACTACATGCTGTTTTTATTTCACCACACACTACTCCACCTATCCTTGCTCTATTCATTCATTAATTCAGATAAATTTCCAAAAAAGTTAGAGATATCAGTATATTTCATCCCTATATCATAAACAATACAAAAATTCTATATTTTTATAAGATTTTAAGGTAAATTTATGTGCAGGGAATTGCCTATATTTTAAGTGCACCATTTAATGACTTTTCAAAAGCACATATGTCTGTGCCATGCAAATTCCTATCAATGCCCAGGTGTAAGTGTTCATGTCTATAATTCCCAGGAACCTGAGATCTGTGGGTTTGAGACCAGCCTGGACCACACCATGAGACTCCATGGGGAAGTGATGGGAAGTGAAAAGGATCAAGGGAGAAGAGGAAAGGGGAGGGAAGGAGAGTAACAAGAGAGGAAGAAAAGGAAGAAAACGTGTTTTACATCATCCCAGGAGGGTTTCCACCACCCCAGAAGGGTCTCCACCACCCCAGAAGTGTCCCCGCCACCCTAGAAGGGTTTCCACCACCCCAGAAGGGTTTCCACCACCCCAGAAGGGTTTCCACCACCCCAGAAGGGTTTCCACCAACCCAGAAGTTACCACCACCTTAGAAGGGTTTCCACCGCCCCAGAAGTGTCCCCACCACTCCAGAAGGGTTTTCCCTGGAGCCTCTTCCCAGTCAGTCCTCACTCACACACTCCAGACATGTTTCCATTGTAGCTGGTTTAACTTATTCTAGAACTTTGTGAAAATGAAATCTTACAGACATATGATACAAATTCTTTTTTCCTAGGCTTCTTTTAACATAATGTTTTAGAACCCATGCATTCAATTGTGCTTCTCAACAGTTCATTTTTAAATTAGGTAGTATATATGAGCCCACCATTCATCTACTCTTCTCTTGAGAAACATTTAAACTGTTTCTAGTTTTGTTGTTGTTTGTTTGAACCTTACTATATAGCCCTGGCTGGCTTGGAACTCACTACATAGAACAGGCTGAACTTGAACTCATAGAAAGCCATCTGCTTCTAACTCCTGGGATTGAAGGTGTATACCACTGTACCAAGAGGTTTCTACTTTCGATGATTTTAAACAAAACTACTGTGCTATTTTTTGTAAAGAGTACACTTGAGGCTGGAGAGATCGCTCAGCAGTTAAGAGCATCCACTGCTCTTGCAGAGGACCTGGGTTCAGATCCCAGCACCCACATGGCAGCTGACAACTGCCTGCAACTCCAGGTCCAGGGACTCTGATGCCCTCTTTGAAACTCTGAGGGCAACAGGCACATGTGTGGTGTAAATGCATACATGCAGCCAAAACACGCATACACAGATAATATGAAACATGTTAAATAATAAACTTAAATTTTAAGATTTTAAATTTATAGGAAAATTATGAAGGTGAGTACAGAAGGCCCCCCACACACTCCATACTGAGCGTCCTCTATTAATTAACATCTTATCGCTAGTGTGGGACATCTGTTATAGCTCACGTACAGATAGCTATTCATTGTATTAAGTGTTCAGATTTCCCTAGTTTCTACCCAATGCCTGGATTGATATAGTCACCATGTCCCCTTAGGCTCTTCTCAGATGGTTAGTGTCTCAGACTTTCCCTGTTTGGGTGACCTTGATGGTTTTGAGAGTCGGGAAGGTATTTTAGAGACTGTCCCTCAGCTGTGATGTGTTTGTTTTTCTCATGAGTAGACCGTGGAATGACGATCCTTGTAAAAAGCCTCTCAGTAGCCATCTGCTTTCCTAGCTCTTGAGTAAATATCCTGGTGTTGAATTACTGGGTCACAGAGTAGGTATATGTTAGGATTTAATAGAAACTGCCAGAACTTGTTCAAAAGTGGTTGTGCCACCAGCAAAGCCCACGTTCTTCCTGTTGCCCTGCATCCTCGCCCACATTTGACGTTGTTGGAATTCTGGTTGGCTTGGCTCTTTGAGAGAGGGTCTCACCATGCAGTCCACGCTGGTTTCAGACTCGAGTCTCCTACCTCAGTCGCCCCGGTATTGGATTATAAACTTGCAGCACAATATTGTGCATATCATCAGTTTTTTCGTTAGATTATTCATTTTACGGGCGTACGTGCTCTGCGAACATGCTTGGTGCCAGGATCCATCAGAAAAGGGCATCAGATCCCCTGGAACGGATGTGACTACTGAGAATTGAAACTGGTTTCTTCCTTCACGAGAGCGGCAGCTGCTCTAACTGCTGAGCCATCTTTCCAGCCCCAACATCAGAACTTTAAAAGAGAGCTGTCTTGAGAGATGTGTATTAGCATTTCATGTTGATTTGAAATTATATTTCCCTAAAAAGTCCATAATAGTCTTTCTTTTCACGTATCTATTTGAAACATATTTTTCCTGTGTAAAGTATCTTGTCCAGTCGTTTGTGCTCTCTCTGTGTGTATTTCTTACATATTTATTTTTAGTGATGCAGTGAGGGGTTGACAGGGCGGCTCAGGAGGGGCGCTGTCAATCCTGAGGCCGATTCCTGAAGTCCACATGGTGGATGGAGCGAATCTGCTTCTGAACTTCTTTCTTCTGACCTCCATACGTAGGCTGTGACACACACACACACACACACACACACACACACACGTAAACTGTAAAACCTAAAAGAATCTTAAACTATGTTTCCAGATTTTGTAATGACCCTGCTTCCTGAGAGCTTACTGCAGTAACTTAGCTTTAGTAGTTCAGCGTATTCACAAGAATTTTCATAACTAATCGCCATCAGCAAAATGAAAGCATTTTTATCTTCCTTTCCAATCTTTTTATTCTTTTAAATTATTTTTAAGATATATTTTTATGTGCACTGGTGTCTCATCTGCATGTGTGTCTGCGTGAGAGTGTTGGATCCCCTGGAACTGGAGTTACAGACAGCTGTAAGCCGCTACGTAGGTGCTGGGAGCTGAACCCCGGTCCTCTGGAAGAGCAGCCAGTGCTCTTAACCACTGAGCCATCCCTCCAGCCCCTTTTCTAACCTTTCTTCAGTGTCTTCTCTGCTGTATGCATGGGCTAGAATTGCTGGCACACATTTACAGAAGTGGAGACAAGGGTGTCTATGTCCTGTTCCTGTCGTTGATGGAGGGATTCGTATTTCTCCATAAGTTATCTTAACCATTGGTTTTCCCGTGAACCCAAGAAGCTCCCTTCTATTCCTGGCTTTTTGAGAGACATACTTTCTTTTTTCTTTGTTTTCAGATTGGGTCCCACTCTGGGGCCAACGCTAGCCTGGCACTCACCATGTAGCCCAGAATGGCCTTGAACTTGTCATTCTCCTGTGTCCAGCTCACTCCCAAGTTCGGGGATTGCAAGTAGATATTTGCCGTATTCTTGAGGCGCCTGCTGACGTTCTATGAGTTTCCTGCCTCTGCTCCAGCAATTTGGATGAATT